TCCCTCATTTCCACTCTCTCTACAAATCAATGGGAAAAAATTATTCTATGGTGAGCATTAACAAACTCACAAAAGAATGCATAAAAAAACAATAGTGTAGTGGTCACTGATTAGTGCCCTCACACATTAGCATAAGTATTACAGCAGGTGATGGGATGGGAGGGAGGAGGAGGAAGTGAAAGGAGAGAAAGCTTTAACTTACTATCTGCCAGGCAGTTGGTAAACAATAGGAATCAACAATCACAATGATTCCATGAACTAAATACTATGGAGGAAACTGAACCGGAAGAGAAAAAGGAAAATGAAAACTCCAGTCTTATTCCAGAGACTAAAATAACTTTAAAATACATGTTAAAGAAAATATGGCAAATATGATAGTCATTCTTTCTTTATTTCCACAAACTTTTAAGGAACTCTTACTATGCCCCCTGGAGATAAGCTTGCTGCTTGGGACAAAAAAATGTCAAAATAAAATTTGTTTATACAGTTTGACAATTTAATCACCAGAGAATAATACATAATAATCATAGGCTACAATGGGAATAGTAAGAAGAAAAGATACATTTCTCTTAAAAAGTTATAGATATATTCTTGGTGGAATTAATGCCAAAACCAAAACTTAAAATAGGAATAGAGCAGTTAGAGACTACAAGTGTAGAGATCTGTAAAAACAAAAGGACCAGCATCTGAGAATCTCCACAGGTAATTTTAAGCATCTCCTTTAATGGAAAACGCTAGTAGATAAGTCTAGGGAAGCAAATTGAATCAGGAGAGATGACACCAGCAGCCCGACTCCATAGGGCATGCTCTTAATCACTATGATACACTGTCTCTTGCTGGTAGCAAATTCAAGTACCCTAGTAGGAAAAAACAAGAAATGAGGAAAATTTTGTGGACTGATAGCAGAAATATTAGAAAGCTCTCCATATGCTAAGAAACCTAAGTTTTATAATGAGGGCAAAAAAGAGTGATTGAAAGTATTAAAATTAATGTTTCAATTGCAAAACTCCATTTCACTCTAAAAAAATAAATATTTTTCAATAACATACTATCAGTCTTCCCTTCCTAACAAACTCCACCACCTCACTCTAGTGCAGTGGTTCTCAACCTTGGCTGCACATTAGAATCAGCAGGGAATCTTCTTAAAATCCTGATTCCCAGAAATCAGGATTTTAAGAAGATTCCCTGCTGATTCTAATGTGCAGCCAAGGTTGAGAACGACTGTTCTAGTGGATCAACTTCATGTATTTGTGCTGCCTCCCTCAACCCAGGTTCAGCTTGGTTCTGGAATAATTACATCATTTCAATGTGATAAGAAGTAAAGATGTCAGTATCCATCCTCTGTTCTGGTCCTCTAACATCTATTCATGTGCATCACAGCCTTGGATCTTTTGTTTCCCTTGCCCATATTACTCTTAAGATCTAGTAGTTCTCTGTATAAGTTATAAGACACCGATAGCATTTCTGTGGCAAATTGCAGTGCAGGAAAATTTGTCAAATATCTAATGTTTGTCTTTAGGTTAATGTCACACTAGACAGGAGAACACCCTTTTGTAATTCTATACCAACCTGTAGAATGGGAAGACTATGTGACTTTCTAAGGCTTTTTTGCCTGTGTTCAAAGAGCAACTTAATTATTGTTCCCCTTAGATCTCTACAAGGAAAAGAAATTGCAGAAATTTATCTCATTTTTCTATCTGTCTGCTATTCTGGCTCCATGTTAGTGGAAGAGAGTAAAGGTCCCCTGTGAACGCCCATCCATTTGCTACTAGGGTGCAAGGTCTGGAAAATGGGCTGATGCACAAATGAATATACTAGACAAGAAATATAAATGTAGAAGGCACGGGGGAGCCAGGAGGAGACCTTTCTTTAGCAGAGAGGCTCTCTGAAACCTGGGACCCAGGAGCTTTTATTTACTTGAATACACATTTGCCCTTTAAGAATGCAAACAAGCAAATCAATGGTAAAGTTTGGTAAACAATAAAAGGATTATCAGGTTAGGAGATTGTCTTCAGCCATTTGCCCAACAGTGGGGTAATATATTAGGCTGAATTTCAGCCCTGTTGAATATCAAAGTCCATTAACCTTCTTGAGGACTCCTCACATAATTATGCTAACTACTGTTGGTCTTATCCTCCAGCAGTCACCAAACATGGAGAACTTATTCAGAACCACTAAATCATCTAACCTATTCCTCAACTTTCTTATCCTCTGAAAAAGAATTTTTATAAATTCTCTAAGGATGAGAAATTTTGTTCTTAGTCATTACTCTGAATAAAACATTTATTGCCTGGAATATTTCATTAACCTAAACACTTGATGCATTTCAAACTTAAACCCACTAATGCATTCCCTTTTCTCCTCTCTCCAACTCCTACTTAAAGCCAAAATTAATTAACTTCCATTTAACTGAGAGGTAGATCAAGAGTTTCAGAGAAATACATAGTATGGGGTAAATGTCAGTTCAAAAATATTGTCCACAACACATAGGGGAGAATTAATCACATCTGGGCTTTAGAAAAATGATTCTGATTGCATTAATTTTAAAATACTGAATGGGAAAAGCAAAGATATATGTGAATCATATGTTAACATGTTTCTGCAATATTTCAACTATAAGATAAAGACACCATGAGTAAAAGTAGTGTTGTGAGTGAGAGAATAAAAGGAACAAATTAAAAAGATAACAGAAAAGGCAAGACATGCCCACAACTGAAAATTGGAGTAAAAAAAAAAAGAACAATAAATAATGTTTTTAAATGAGACTTACTCTTGACAGGGAAGGAAACACAGTCATGAGTGCCACAAAAAAAATCTTGAAATATGCACATCTAGAGGACTCTCAAAAGGAAATCATAAGATAACAACATAAGACCGCCCAATACTGAATAGTAATGAGTAGTCGCCTAATTCCAGATACAGTTGTACATATTTTATCAATATTATCTAAATTTTTCATTATAACCCTAAGATGTACATATTATTTTATCTGAAGTTTGCACACATACACACACAAATAAAAGACACAAGATAGAGAAATTAACCAAATTGCTCAAGGACTCTCAGATAGAAAAAAAGAAAAAGTGTAAGATCAAACCATCTAAGTCTGATCTAGATGTCTAATAACAAGTTGAAGTCAGAATACTGTAACATTTTCCTGCATATACTTGAAATCACCCTATTTATTAGAACTTCCTCGAGAGAGGGCAGAGTAAAAGAGATATTGCCTAGAAAAAAATATTTCATGTGCACCAACAAATTAGAAAAGGAAAAGGAGCTATGAAGGAGAATTGAAAAAAATAGACAAAATGATAGGATGAAATTCAGGATAATGTGAGATGGTAGAAAGTAAGCTGTAAAGACTTTCATAAGTTCACGGTTTACTATATGCAGAAGAGAACTTGAGTTAAATCAAGTCTGAAGTTTGTTTAATGATTGAAACAAGAGGAAGGCTAGTGGTGATGTTGGCTAGAGTAGTTTAAATGATGCAAATACCTCATGAGTTTATAAATAAAGGGTTAATATGAAAGAGAGGACAATTATCAAGGAGGTAAAATTTAAGTGAGAATGTTGTAGTATGTTTGAGAAATTGCTAAACCTTGTTAACCATGATATTGCTAAATGATACTTATAGTGGGTGGTAGTGTGTATTTCAAGCTGAAATAGGCTGACCCAAAACATTAAAAAATCAAGATATTGCTCTTCAGCTCTATGAATATACTGCAAATGTTCCCTTATTTGTGTGTCACAAATTTCGAAGTAAATATATACAACAAGGAGTGAAAATATGTCATTGTCAAATGTGTTTAGAAAGAAATAATGGAAAAACATCAATAAGAAAAAAATCAGTATCAAAGCTCTGGTCTTAACTATAATGCTTTGATAGGAAAAGGGTTCTCAAAGTCTAGAGAAAAATGAACCCATAGATGTACCGCAGTTTTTTAATCCTCTCATTTGCTGATGGGCACTTAGGCTGTTTCCAAATCTTAGCTATTGTAAATCATGCTGCTATGAACATAAAGGTGCATATATTCATTCTTATTGGTGCTTCTGATTTCTAAGGATATATTTCTAGAAGTGGGATTACTGGGTCAAATGTGAGTTCCATATTTAATTTTTTGACGAAAAAAAAGCAGATAGTAAAAGGGCATTAGGGTTTTCACTGTCAAAGGAATTTAGAAGGAAATTAATTAACCAGAGAATATAATTCCAGATTTCTGCTTGTAAGCTGGGGGGAAATTTTCTTTTTGGCACTAGGATATCCTAAAAGCATAGAAATGTATAACATACATAGTCTAACAGTAGAAGTAAAATATAGCCAAGGGTAATATTAATGATATAAACTACATATATTTGAAATAAATTTCCTTTGAGGAAAACCTCAAAAAGATTGTATTGTAACACAATTAAATGAATCTTTAAGAGCATACATCCAATAAAAATATTCTAAACACACCTCAGAGAAACTCCACTGGATAAGTTGAAACAGAATAAATTGTGATAAGCATTCATTGTCAGTTTAATTGCTAATACACATGTAAATTTTAATATAAAGATTTTCTTAGCAAAGGCCATTGTTAGTTTTTTCAGGGACTTTTCTGCTAGAAGCATTTCTGGTGTTAGGAAGTGGGGAAAAGTCAGAATAGTAGATCCAAAGCAACTTCTAGGAAGTAGGGGGAAGTAAGAATAGTAGACGCAAAAACAATTTTTAGGACTTACTTTCATTGATGTTTATAATATAATATGTCAAACTGACTCAATTACAGTTAAATTGTAATTAGAAGCAGCAGTGCAAATATGTGATATAAATATGAACAGTCAGTTATGTGACACAAACGGGTAATGAAACATTGGCATGTATGATATGCTCATTTCCCCACTGATCTAAGAATCACTCTCTGATTTACTTCTCTTGAGGTCAGAAGATGACCTGGACGCTGGAGTTCCTCATATAAAGTCTCATTATTTGAAGCAGAATGAGCAAAAGACAATAATCAAAGATGAAAAACCAAACTACACTAACAACCTTCATCTTGCTGGGACTGACCGATGACACTGCACTGAAAATATTGCTGTTTATCTTTCTATTTCTTTCCTACATGTTGAGTATATCTGGAAACCTAACCATCATCACCCTCACTCTGATTGATTCCCACCTAAAAACACCGATGTATCTGTTCCTTCAAAATTTCTCCTTCTTAGAAATGTCTTTCACAACTGCCTGTGTTCCCAGAGTCCTATATAGCATATTATCTGGGGACAAGTCCATTACCTATAATGCTTGTGCCAGTCAACTCTTGTTTACTGACTTCTTTGGAGTAACGGAATTTTTTCTTCTGGCTGCCATGTCCTATGATCGCTACGTGGCCATCTGCAAACCCCTGCATTACACCACCATCATGAACAGCAGAGTCTGCAAGAACATCATTTTCTCCTGTTGGGTAGCAACACTGATCATCCTTCTCCCACCAATGAGTCTGGGTTTGGCCTGGAATTCTGCGATTCGAACGTCATTGATCATTTTTGCTGTGATGCATCTCCTATCCTGAAGATCTCTTGCTCAGACACCTGGTTGATAGAACAGATGGTTATCATGTGTGCCGTGTTGACATTTATCATGACCCTCATATGTGTGGTTCTTTCCTACATTTATATCATCAGGACTATTCTAAGGTTTCCCACTGCCCAGCAAAGGAAAAAGGCCTTTTCCACGTGTTCTTCCCACATGATTGTGGTTTCCATTACTTATGGAAGCTGCATCTTCATGTATATCAAACCTTCAGCCAAGGATGAGAGAGCTATAAATAAAGGGACTTCACTCCTTGTTACCTCCATTTCACCCATGTTGAACCCCTTTATTTACACCCTGAGAAACAAGCAGGTGAAACAAGCTTTTCATGACTCAATTAAAAAAATTGCATTCCTCTTAAAGATGCAGAGGAAAAAGGAGTCAGTGAATCCAATAAAAGATAGGATAAATAGACAGAAAACCTGAAGCTTCTAATATTATTTGTCTCTGCATGACTTATTCTCCAGTCATATCGACATTCTCGCTTTGTTGTTAGACTTGTTTACTGTGAATCCTGACTATTCAATTTTTACTCCCCATTCAAACTAAATACTGAGGTATTTATGCTTACTATTTGGCAGAAATTTCTGTTTTTGCCAAATTATTTTGGTTGCTATCCCTGGAAACACAGTAGAACACATTTTTCTGCTATATTTGTACATTGTAAGATGTGACTAAGTAGCCTATATTATAGCTAACAGAATGGGTGTGGAAGTGATGTGCACTTTTTCTAGACCTGCGCTATGCAAATATTCAATAGTTGATCCACCATACCTGTTCCCCACCTACTGGCCAGATGTCCACATTTCAATTCCTTTGTAATCTTCATGTAGATAATGAATGAGCTTGATCTTCTATCTCTGGTATAGTCTTTACCCAAAGGACAGGCTATCACAGCAAGCTCGATAAAGCTTCTCCTGTACTTCAACTCCAGTCAGTTGTCATCTGATTTAACAGGTAAAGTATCACATAACTATTCCTGCCACTTACTAAGGAAGCAATACTCAGAGTTAGTTCTAATTTGGCTACATGAGTACAATTATGACCCATCCTCAAATATTGTTAGAAATACATTCTGGTAACATTTTTAATATGCTTTTTTTATTTTTTTATTTTATTAATTTCAGAGATAGGAAAGGAGATGCAAAGAGAGAAACGTCAATGAGAGAATCATTGATCAGGTGCTTCTTGCACACACCCCACTAGGGATGGAACCCATAACCCTGGCATGTGCCCTGACCAGGAACAGATCTGTGACCTCCTGGCTCATGGGTCAATGCTCAACCACTTAGCCACACTGGCCAGGCCATACTGTTACATTTAATGGTATAGACATTATGTCTTGACTATTGGCATACGCCTACTCAGACAGCCATAAATTCAGACCTGGCCCAGGACAATCATATAAGAAAAAATAGTATTAAAAGTAATATACACAAGTTTGTAATACCACCCACCCTTCTTCAAATCTCCTGGTCTTATAATATTTTCCAGTGAAGTTCCTCTGTTACTTCCTCTCATATTTTCTGTGAGGTAGAAATTAGCTAAATAAAATTTTAGCTATTTAATATTTCTTAAATATATTTTTATTGTTTTCAGAGAGGATCAGAGAGGGAGAGAGAGATAGAAACGTCAATTATGAGAAAGAATCATTGATTGGCTGTCTCCTGCACTCCCCCTACTGGGGAACAAGCCTGTAACTGGGAATGTGCTTTTTTAGCAGAATCGAACCCGGATACTTCAGTCCACAGACCGAAGCTCTATCCACTGAAACAAACCAGCTAGGGCTAGCTATTTAATATTTTTCAATCACTGTTTAAAATACCCAGTGTTTATATTACCCTTTCCACTTTCTGATGAGTGTATCCCTTTGAGAACATAATGGGGGGGGGGGGAGGAATGGCTATGTAATATTTTGTTTTTCTTGACATTTTATGTACATTGGTAGAAGTAAAGTATGTAATTTTATCAGAAGAAGTATATTCAAGATACCCCACAAAGGTTTGTGCATAAAATATTGTTCCCTCTGTCAATATCTTTCAGATTCCATGAGCTTTACTGAGGGAGTAAATTTAGCCCTCATGTACAAAAATTTGCTATTTTATATCTCAATACCCAATACATCTAAATTCTTACAGGCTAGGATAAATGGAATAAATCTGAAAATGTGTATGTGGAGCTAAAGTAGCTTTCTCACACCCAACAATTGATATTTCACTATTAATTCTTTGGTGACATCCTAATAAATAAACTATTTTCATATTATTCCCAACAAGTGTGTTTCTGTGGAGGTCATTCAAATACAAAACATCAAATAAATACCTTACAGCCATTTTAATGAAAATTTTTTAAAATGTGCAAAAACATAAATTATTTTAAAAAGTAATGAAGCATTTGTAAATTAAGAACTATACCAAGGAATTTTTTATGCTAAAGCTTATGTTTAGTTCCCTGTGTTTAAAAAGCCAAAATATAGAATTTTATGTTTTACTTTTATAACTTAATCCTATATTTTAAATATGCTTAATAAATATGATCTTGGTTATACAAAATGTGTGGGTGTACATATTCAAAATACTAGCAATAGCGATCTCTATATAATGTATGATTTTACATGTATGTTCTTTGTTATTATCAGATTTATTTTTTACAATAAAAATTATGTATTTATAAAAATTGATAAATAGGGGAAATCACTTCCTATTAATTTTAAAAGACCTATGGTGATGTAGTTTGCATATCTTCTGTTTCTCATGCTCATGTCTACATCAGTCTCCAAGAACACAGTCCCCACTTCTGCCTTTAGGACATTTGTTATCCCCACAGATATTTATAAACTAGATTTATTGGCGACTTTGGAATCAGAGTCACCAAGGATCTGAGTATTTATTTACTTATTTACAGACTGAGTACATTTTTTTTAAATGTGCTAGCGTGCCAAAGGCATCATATCTTCAAGTTCTCTAAAAAACAAAAAAAGGTCCTACACACTCTAGCTTTTTTTCCCCCTTTTTTCTTTTCATTTTTAATTAAATTTATTGGGGTGACAGTGGTTAATAAGATTGTATAGGTTTCAAGAGTACATTTCTATACAATGTGATCTGTATGTTGCATTGTGTGCCCACCACCCAAAGCCAAATCATCTCCCATCACCATATTCAGTAATTTGTTCCTTTGCTACCCCACCCCCACCTCCTTTCTCTCTGGTAACCACCATAATGTTGTCTTTGTGTCTATGAGTTTTTGTTGTTTGTCTGGTTTGTTCACTTGTTCTTTCAGTTTTATATCCCACATATGAGTGAAACCTTATGGTACTTGACTCTGTCTGACTTATTTTTCTTAGCACGATATTCTCAAGAACCATTCATGCTGTCACAAATGGCAGTATTTTATCTTTCCCTTTACCTGATTAGTAATGCATTGTATATATGTACCACATCATCTTTATCCAATCATCTATCAAAAAATACTTTGGTTGTTTCCATGACTTGGCCATCATGGATAACGCTGCAATGAACATGGTGGTGCATATGTCTTTGCAAACAAATGCTTTCAAGTTTTGGGGGTAGATATCCAGAAGAAGAAATTCCGATCATAAGGTAACTCTACCCTTAATTTTTTGAAAAAATGCACTGTTTTTACACTGTGGCTATACCAGATTACAATCAGCAGTGACTAAAGGTTCCTTTTTCTCCACAACCTCACCAACACTTGTTATTACTTGCCTTGTTGATATTAACCATTCTAACAGATGGCTATTATGGGAGGTGGTATCTCATGTAGTTTTGATTTCAATTTCCCTGATAACTAGAAAAGTTGAACATATTTTCATATATCTGTTGGCTATTTGTATGTCTTCTGAGGAGAAGTGTCTGTCAGGTTCTCTGCCCATTTTATAATTGGATTATTTGTTTGCATGTTTGTTTAGCATTTTACTTAAAGAGAGTACAAGAAAATATTGCTTAGATTTAAAGTGAGATCAAGACCTTATTGATAAAGTCTCTAAAAGATTTTAGAGACAGAGAAATCCTGCCTGTGAGGTTGAGTAAGGGTTCAAAATAATATGTGACTGGCAGTGCATCTACCTATCTCCGCCGACACATGTCTGGTCACCTTTTGTCACCCTGAGGAACTTGGGGATTAAGTGACTATCTGAGAGTATGATTGTCAGAAGAGTAAGGATTTTCTTTGTTGTTTATTATGTACATAAATTATACAATGATGTTTTGCTTCTGAAATCTAAGGTGATGTGATATTTTGTTTAAAATTCCTTAATAAATTAAGACAAGTAATTGTTGTTATTATTGTTGTTAATCCACTCCTGTGGACATTGCTTTTCAAAGACATTAGAAGAAGGACATACAGAAGGACAAGAGACATATGAAAACATGCTCAAAGTCACTAATCATCCAAGAGATGCAAATCAAAACAACAATATGGTACCATCTCACACCTGTCAGAATGGCTATCATCAACAAATCAACAAATGACAAGCGCTGGTGAGGTTGCAGAGAAAAAGGAACCCTCTTGCACTGCTGGTGGTAATGAAGACCGGTGCAGCCATTGTGGAGAACAGTATGGAGTTTCCTTTAAAAACTAAAAATGGAACTCCCATTTGACCCAATGATTCCACTTCTATGATTGTATCCCAAGAAATCAGAAACACCAATTAGTAAGGATATATGCACCCCTATGTTCATAGCAGCACAATTTACAAAAGCTAAGATTTCAAAACAGCCTAAGTAACCACCAACAGTTGAGTGGATTGGAAAACTGTGGTACATCTACACAATGGAATACTACGCTGCTGTAAAAAGGAAGGAACTCCTGCCATTTGCAACAGCATGGATGGGCCTGGAAAGCATTATGCTAAGCAAAATAAGTCAGTTAGAGAAAGATAAATATCACATGATCTCACTCATTTGTGGACTATAATGAACAACATAAACTGATGAACAAAAACAGATCCAGAGACAGAGAAGCATTGATCAGACCATCAAAACCTCAGAGGGAATGGAGGGGAGGGTGAGGATAAGGGGGAGAGATCAACAAAAGGACTTGTATGCATGCATATAAGCATAACCAATGGACACATACATTAGGAGGGTGAGTGCATGAGTAGGGGGGAGGCCAATGGGGGGATAAGGACACATATGTAATACTTAATCAATAGAGAAAATAAATAAATAAACACATAAATAAATAAATAAATAAATAAATAAATAAACAAATAAATAAATAGATTTGAAGGTAGATTTGAAGGGAGAGAAGGAGAGGAATTGGGGGAGAAAGAGAGAAACATCAATGAGAGAGGCACATAGACTGATCAGGGGTGGGGAGTGAACCCGAAACCCAGGTAAGTGCCCTTGACCAGGAATGGAACCAGAGACCCCTCAGTGCAGGCCAACATTCAAACCATTGAACCA